AGAGGGACAGCAGGACATCCCCGCCCATGGTTAAGTATTGAGAGGCCACATGGGAGGAATGTCATGCCCCTCACCCCTCCCATGACCTCACACCTCAACAATGACAGCCAGGAGTCTCAGGGCCATCCCTGGAGGAGTCCCCCCAAGGGTGGCTCCGTCACTGCCCACCCCCTCTGAGGCCCAGACGTGGGCTGGGGAGAGCCCCCACGCCCTTGGGCTGGCCCTGCCCTCCTGGATAGAACGGAGCCTCTCCTCCGTTCCCACCCAGAGCCCACCTCAGAGGGACAACCATCCTGTCCCAAGGACAGTCCCCAGCCTTGGTTCTAAGCTGCAGGGGCTTGAGATGGATTGAGTCTGGGGCCTGAGCCCCCCGCACCCCACTTCAAAGATGGGTGGGCCTCTTGTGCCTGGATGGGACACCTAGGGACTCTGAGCTTCAACCAAGTTTATCTTGGGACAAAAGGGGACACCGCAGGTCCTCGGCTGGTTCCTGTGGGGCCGGGCTGGCATCTGTCCTAACTGCAGGCCTGGAAGTCTGGGGCTCCCTACTGGACTTCCTCCTCCCTCTCCCCCTCGTGCAGGTGTCTGGTGCTCGGCTGTGACACAGGCAGAAGGCTGGAGGCCTGACCCCTTGCGTGACAGAGCCCAGGCGCAGGGAGGGAAGTGGTTTGAGCGCAGTGCTGAGACAAGCAGGTTCAGGAGGCTCGAACTAGTGCAGCGGTGGGGGAGGGGCGTCTGGGCAGCGTCCTGGTGTCTGCACCAGGGCGAGGAGGACGTTCACGCAGACTCCAGGGGTTGAGCTGGGGCAGGAGTCCAGGGGAAGGTGAGACGTCGTCAGCACATGTGTTGAAAGGAAACGGTGAGAAATCCAGGCAATGGTGAAGCCCCGGGATCTGAGAGCGTAACCGAGAAAGAGGCAGGTGCGGGTCAGCAGAGACTGAGGTTTGGGGGCGTTCCCGGGGACTTCGAGGCTTGCCTCAGCTGTGGGTCCTAGGCCCAGAGGAGGAGGTGAAGCCAGAACAGAGTCCGCAGAGGAGGGCAGGAGCCGGGCTGCAGGGCAGCAGGGACAGGAGAGGTGACCAGTCAGGAAAAGGGAAGCCACGATTGTTCTCCGGGGAGCAATGAGGCGGTGTCCAGGGCAGCTTCCTCGACCTCAGGCCACATGAAGACAGGCAGAGCTGTAGATCGGGAGAGGTGGGGATTCCAGGTCTACAAGTGTCCATGTGACAGTGCTGGCCAAACGGGGGACTTCCAGGTCATGCCCCAGGAAGCCCTGAGGAGGCAGGACTTCGTAAGAAATGGGAGGAAGCCCCAGCTGTGGCGTCCTGGGCGATGATCCAATAAGGCCACCGCTTCTATTGTTGGCAACTGTGGGAGCACTTTACAGACAGGAGCCCGGGTCGTGTTGGGGCCTAAGTCAGGTTACTCCTGTCCCAAGCAGAGCCACAGCCTGGATGATGCTCCAGGAGGCCTCGCCCAATTTTGTTACTTAAGGATTTATTGTCTGTCTCACTCCAAAGGATGAAAACTCTGGGAGGGCAGAGGTTTTTAGACAAAGTAGAAATTGTTCACCGCATTATCCTGGCAGGCACAAGGCGCTTGATAAGCATTTGGCGAATCTAGACCTCACAGTGGACCTGTCACACCGAGGCTACCATTCTCACTTTCAGACAGGAAATGGGGCTTCCAAGAGAGAAAATGGTTTGCTAAGCGCACGCAGTTCCTGAGTGGAGAACTAGGCTTTCACTCAGCCCTGCTGACCTCAGAGCCTGGTGTCCAGCCACCAAGTTCTCAGAAACTCGGAGTGTCTGAGAAAGAGGCCAGCCTCGGCAGCCTGAGAGCCCAGGCCTGAGGGGGTGGGAGACAAAGGCAGCTGTCTTCTGTTCAGAGTTGGCAGAGGGCCTTTGTCCTCCCTCCCTCTTATTCACACTGGGTTTCAGTTCCCTCTGGTGACACGGCTTCCCTCCCTGCCCAGCTCCACTCACAGTCACACACCCTGGCTTCTACCTGAATCAAGGGAGATGCCCCAGCCAGCATAAGTGCCAGCCGGGAACCATGTCACCCCACGGGGAGTGGGAAGCCTGGGCACATCTCTACCCAGGCTCCTGGGGCTGTGGGGGCCAAGCCTCCTGCCCCCTACAGGTCCCTGCCACATCGGGGGAACTGGGAGTGAGCAAAGGGCTAGGGTGGCCACACTTCCCCTTTACGCTGCTCCCACCCACAAGGCAGCACCGGGAGGCCAGGGTGGGGGGCACCCTTGGATCTGGGGGCTCCTCTCTGCCCCAGAGTGCTGCCCGCCTTCCCTCCCTGTGCTGTCTCTGACCCAGGGTGGCTCTTGGCTCAAGTTCTCCAGGTCAGGGAAAAGTAGGATCGGAGCCAGGCTGAGCCCCTGCACAGCCTCTATCCCAGGAGCCCCACGCCTATGCTGGGATCCCAGGGAACATCAGGCTTGGCTCTGATGTTCAGAGACAAGGGAATGAGGTTCGAGAACCTCTCTGAGGTTGCTTAGCTTAAGCACAGCAGAGCTGATGCCAGCTCATGTGTCACCCCTTCTTCTGCACACAGGGAGCCCCTGCTGGTTCTTGAAGTTTAGAGACTCTTAACACTGGGGCCTCACCTGAGCAAGGTGGACAGTGAGGGAGGACAGGGTGCAGAATACTAGGGTCTCATGGACCCTCAGTGTGTGTGTGGGGGGGGCATTTGACAATAAAAGAAAGCTCTTCTTGGCTATTGCTCCAGTATATTTTCTGGATCAACAGAATGTTTTTCTATTAAAAGTACTGACCTCCAGTGAGAAAGGTTCCCATTTTGTGGGGTGCCACTTTCAATTAAATAGCAGTTTCATTTTTGAAGAAATATAAAACAATCTACCCATTTACATTTTCTCCATCCATCTTTTAAATTTTAAAAATGTTTAGTGAAATACTCAGCAGATACAAATAATAAAATACTTATATACAATAATATATGGGCTACAAAGGAGGGGAGAAGGGAGAGATACAGAAGAGATAAAAAAAAGACAACACACAAGTGTCTTTTCACTCTTCAAAGGTAGAGATCAACTCAGGAGAGAGAAGGGGAAGGTCAAAGTTCTGATTCATCAGCTAATACTACTGTATGTGTTAAAAATACAAGGCTCTAAACTTTGAAGAGCAAATAGCGCTATTTAGAACTTACATGTTGTATTAGCTATCTAAAATTAAACAATTACCTTGGAGATTTTCTTCATTTAAAATATTTTTAACTAAAAATTGCTATAGAAAATGAACAATGAGAAGACAGGAGGAGTCCCTGAGTAAGCTGATTCCAGTGGAAATCAGACATTATAGTCACAGGAAACCAATCCTCCTAGGAGGGGGAGTCAAGGCAGACTCTCCAGGGAAGGTGATGAGGATATAGAAAATTTGAAGAGCAGGAGTTTCCAAGCGAGAATCTTCCAGGAGAAGTAACAGGACACGTGAAGGAGGCGGCCAACAAGAAAGGCCCCTTTATGGAACCGAAACCGTTCAAAATGACAGGTGGACAGCCAAGGCAGCGGCGAGGGAGAGAGGAGGTGAGACTGGCGCCCAGGCCCTAACCTAGGAAAATGGGAAGGAGACCCTAGAGGGGAGCTGGGGCAAAACAGGTCAGGGAGTGACAATGAGAAAAGCAAAGAGTGGCCCAGGGATCCCCGCAAGCACGTCCACGTCGAGGAGGGCGTGTCCGGGTCCTAGTGCCAGCGACTGGGAGCTGGGGCTGGGGCCACCCTGGGAAGGGGTGCTGGCAGGCGCTCAGGGGGTCTGGGGCGATCGGCCACACCGTGCCCTCATGCGAGTCTCAGTTGACGGCTTGCGCGCAGCCGATCTTGAGCTCCTAGGGGGCGCAGGGCTGGGCAAGTCTCTTGGCCCCACCGAGCACTGCATTGGGGGTTTGTCGAATGACTGCTTTACTGTTCCAGATTGCCGAAGGAGCCCAGTGGTCGGTCCGGGGGACCGCGCTATCTGGCGTCTCCCCCGAGGCCCAGGCTGGTGCCTTCTTCAGCCCGGGTCCGCGGTCGCCGGGCGGTGCGGGGCCCTGGGGTGGATCCGCGGGGCGGGGCGGGGCGCTGCAGGCGCGCGGAGCTCCGCAGCCGCGGCCCGGGGGCGTGGGTGGCGAGATGCGGAAGTGCCGGGCGGCTGGCGGACGGGCGGGAGACGCAGCTCCGGAGAGCGCAGCTCGGCCCCGCCGCCCAGCCAGCGCTCCCGGGCGCAGCCACGCGGGCGCACCGCGGACAGGTAGGTCCGGGCCGCCCCGCGCTCCTCTCCGAGCGGTGAGCGCGGTGCCCGCTTACTGCCGACTCCTGTCCCCGACCTCGACCGTGGCCTGCGCCCTCGGGGCACCTGCCGAAGGCTGGCGGGGGACTGGAGTAGGGCAGGGTCCGCGTCCAGCTCCGCCCGGCACCTGAGCTCGAGGATGGGGAGCGCCCGGGCAGTCTGGCTTGGGCCACCGAGGGGCGAGGCCCCTTCCCCGCTTTCGGTGCACTCTGCACCCCTCTTTCCCAGCCACCCTCACCCTTTCGGGTAAGAAGAAGAGCTTCAAAGTGTTCGTCCCCCAGGATCTTAAGGCCAATGGCAGAGATTAGTGGGAAGATGGTGCCAGCCAGCGGCGCCGCCTTTGACTCGCACGGCCCAGAACCCCAGACGCTGGTCCTTCTAACAGTGCAGGATCCGGGCGCAATACTGCTCCGGCTAGTTTCTTTAGGTCCTGTCCCCGAATTTAAGAACGAAACAATGAAGAGTCAAAAGGTGAAGGAAAAGTGAGACTGGCGTGGCCGCCGTACGGGGAGGACACAGCGAGGATGGGCGCAGCCGGGTGTCCTGAGTCTTGAGAGGGGCAGGAGGGGTACCGGGATAGGGTGTGGGGGTGGGGGACTTTTCTGGCCTTGCGGCCACCTTGGGCACAGCAAGCTGGGGCGGGGGGCGGGGTAGGCGCCACCAGAGGAGGAGCTGGCCAGGGGCGGACCCTGAGCCAGCCCAGGGTGGCTCTGCGGCTGGCCCAGGAGGTGCGAGCTGCGTGCCCTGGGCGAGCCTGCGGGAGGGGCCGTGAGGGCCAGCCCAGGGCGGGGATCAGGGAGCAGGACCAGAAAGGACAGGGGCTGCGCCGATGGAGGAAGCTGGTGGCCCTAAGGAGGGGCTGCCCAGCCAGAGGCAGAGTCCAGCCCCCTTTAGCCAAAGGGCTCCGGGCGCTGGGGCGAGGGGCTCAGGCAGGACCCAGGAAGCCTGGGAAAGCACCTTCCTTGGCTGCAGGCCCTGCTTTGGGGATTCCCCCTGTGCCCCGGCCTTCCCCTGCTTGGCCCTGGGAGGAAGGCGAGAGAGGCATCCTGCCACCTCTTGCTTCCGCACCTGCTGCCCCAGAGCTGCAGCCTGTCCGGACCTGGAGGGTGCAGGGCACAGGGTGCAGGGTGTGGTCAGCTCACTGGAGGGGGTGGATTTAGGGTCAGGCCTGGTGCAGGGAACCATTTGCCCTCTCCCTGAGCTTGTGTGGGGTTTGCAGGGAGACATGTGACCCAGGGGAACCTGGAGGTGGTGGCAGGGGGCCTGCTGCTGGGCCCCTCCTCCTAGGACTGCTGTGGAGCTTCCTCTCCAGGGGCTCCCTGGTGCCCTCAGGGTTGTGGCTCCTCAGGGGCCTGTCTCCTGAGACCTCAGCATGCCCTGGGGGAGCTGTGGGCTCTCCCAACCCCAGCAGGGGTTCCAGGGCTGCCCTTCTGGATGCCTCATTGCCTGGCCTGCTTGTCCTCAGGTCCTCAGCAGCCCACACCCCTTTTGGCTTTTGGCGGAAATTGCTGGAGGACCTGTTGGTTTTCCCCATTTTCCAGGGCTCAAGTCCATAAACCTGGGTCTGGGCTGCATATGTTTTAGCCCAAGCTCCCAGAGCCCTGAGGAAGCAGACCTGTTCAGACGCTGAAATGCATTGGGATGGTCTGAATCAGCTCTAAGCCCTTCTCTGGGCAGGAGGAAGCTTCTGGGGGGATGGATGCTGCTTAGGGTAAGGCTCTTGTGGCCCTGGTTGCAGGCAACACCCCTTGAGGCGGAGACCCTTCTGTGGCATGGTGGACAGACGGTCCCTCAGCCTGGCTGGGCTTCTCCATACCCCTCCCTAAGAGTTCAAGGCTGCAGTGAGCTGTGATTGCACCTGTACTCCAGCCTGGGCAGCAGAATGAGACTCTGTCTCTAAAAAAAAATTAATAAAATAAAAATTAAAACCTTGCTCTGTATTAAACAGCAGTCTTGGGCCAGACGGTGGGACTCACCTGAGTCCTTGTCCCAGGCATCAGAGGGCAGAGGGCCTTTCTGATCTCCCCTCTGTACCACCCTGGCCCAGCTGCAGCCTGACAGGGGTCCTCGGGAAAGCTCACCCCTCGCTCCCATGTGGACAGAGCTTCCTCCTATCCACCTTAACTTAGCCAGAATTGCCTGCGCTGGTGACCAGCACCCCTCCATTCTAGGACCAGGCCTCTCAGAGGGCTGCAGACACAAATCCAGGTGGGTGAGGCTACTCCATGCTGCCGCCCACACCGAACGCACAAGGACCACCAGCAGGCTAGGGGCTCAGGGAATGGCCATGGGGTGCGAGATTGGGAATTTGGTCGTGGGGACCCACTTGTTAATTTTCTCTACGTCCCCTCCCTCCCTCACTCAGAATGAGTCAGGTTTCTGTGTTGTCCGGTCTGGGCACTTTCATTTCCCCTAGGGCTGGGTGGAGGCGAGGGCAGAAAGAGGAACTGAGCCCCCAGTCTTCTGAGGCCGGGGGGCAGGGCTGAAGTTTTCCACCTTTCCTGTCCCAGCCCCTGGGGCCAGGCAGGAGCTGGCCTTACCCTTCAGGGCCCTGGCAGCTGAGGTGGGCACTTCTGAGGGAGGCCTGCAGGGGGAGACTCTAGCAGTGTGGAGGTGGTGCGAGACAGGTGCAACCCAAATAGGTACTGGGCAGGGAATTTCAGGGGAAACAGAGGCTCCAAGCTGCAAGGCCTGGAAACACAGAGGCGTTCAGCTCAACTCTCTGTTCCTTACTTGGGGAGCGACAGATTTCCCTGTCAGGGCTGTGTTGTACAATGGCTCAAGTCCTTTCTGTCTGACTCTGGGCTCCCAAGGGCTATAGCCTTGGGCAAGGGCAGAGGAGGGACTCCCTGGAAGTGGTGAGGGACTGAGGGGAGGTTTCAGCTCTGGGCTGGCAAGGGGGTTTGGCAGGAGAAGAGGAGGAGGCAGGGGCTCCCGGTCAGCCTGACTCCAGGGAGGCACCCACAGTGGCCCAGGGGAGGGGGACTCTTCTTTCATGGGTCATGGGTTGGTGGCGGTTAGACCTGGCCTCTGTGTTTCCTGCAACTGTGTGCAGCACAGGCCCTGGTGGACGTCAGGGCCCCCCTAAGGGCTGCATGGATATGTGTCCAGTGGGAGGAAAAGGGGGGGGACCAAGAATCTAGGAAAAGGATGGCCCTAGAGGGGTGACATCTGAGCTTGGTGGCTACTGTCCTTGCTGGAGGCAGGCTGAGTTGGTTGGTGGGATTTCTCTAAAGATGTCGAGGCTAGGGGAGCTTTCTCCCCCAAGAAAGTGAGGAAGAAAGGAAGCTCTGAGAACTGAGTGTGGAAACCACCTCCATCCCCACGCTCTGCTTTGCCTAAGGCCAGGTTTCCTGGAAGCCCGAGACAGGATTCTTGTTGAGGGCTGGGTTGCAGGGTCTCCCAGTGGACCCAGGTGAGAACATCAGGGCAGAGAAACAACAAAACAGGGATGTGGACTCCGCTGGAGGCTGGTCGCAGCATGGTCCCATGGGAGCATGCGGTGCACCAGGTAGCCCGCCTTGAGGCAGGAGAGCCAGGCTTTGTCCCCAGGTGTCAGACAGGCACTGGCTGTGGGCTACCGGCCCCCCTCAGTGAGCAGCTGAGGGCAGTTCTCCGGCGAAGTGGCCGCTTGGTGCCCTTAGCAGCTGAGTGGATGCCCCTGCGTGGCAGAGGGGGCCTGGGAGGGTGTCCACCACATCCACTATGGCATCACTTAGCTCCTTCCCTTCCCCTAAATGCGAAATTCAGTCACCCCAGGACAGGAAACCCCATGGATGGAAAAGAGAATTGACTTTGAACACCTGGACGGAATAGAGAGGCTGTCCCTTATGCTTGAGGCTTGGCAGCCTGAGCGCCCCCGCCCACCTGGGGCGCCGCAGCTGCTGAGGCCCCTCTTGCTTTGTCCCGCAGACCCGCCATGAACCAGCCCACCTCTGGCGCCCCTGCCCCGCCCCGCCGCGTGCGGCTGAAGCCCTGGCTGGTGGCCCAGGTGAACAGCTGCCAGTATCCAGGGCTTCAGTGGGTCAATGGGGAAAAGAAATTCTTCTACATCCCCTGGAGGCACGCCACGAGGCACGGCCCCAGCCAGGACGGGGATAACACCATCTTCAAGGTAAGCCCAGGGCAGGGGTGAGCCTGCCCCTCTGAGGCACCCGCTCCCCAGAAGAGGAATACACACACACATCCACACACACATCCCACTCATTCACACTCATCTCCTCAAGGCTGGCCACTCTCCCAGCCACCTTGCTGCAGGTGACGCCAGGCCTGGATGGAGGGGATGCAGATGTAGACACAGGATACACCTTTCTAACCTGTACCCCAGAGCAAGGTGGGAACTGAGGGTCTCTGGGAGACCTTCCTGCACCTCCTCCTACAGACTGCTTGTTCTTGTCTCATCCTGTCACACATGAAGACATGTTTAGTGTCCACATATGCTAAAAGAAGCCAACAATTCACCTATAATCTTTTTTAATTTTATTTTTAATTGACATATAATTGTACGTATTTATGGGGTACATAACAATGTTTTGGGGGTTTGTTTTTGTTTTTAGAGATGGGAGAGTCTCACTATGTTGCCTGGGCTGGACTTGAACTCCTGGGCTCAAGCGATCCTCTTGCCTTGGCCTCCTGAGTAGCTAGGATTATAGGCATGAGCCACCGTGCCCTCACCTGTAATCTTAATGCTAGGAGGTACCTAGTATAATAGTTTTTGCTTATATTTTCAGTTTTCCATGTGTGTGTGTGCGTGTGTGTATGAAATGCAAAATTGGAATCAAGCCATCTTTCTGTTTTTCACCCAATGTCAGAACCAGCTTTCCTTTCCCACACGTCTGTTTTACTTTTGGTGACTATGGAAATTTCCACTGAAGGGTTTAGCACAATTTGGTCACTTGGTCTCATTTTTTGGACACTTCAGGTTGCTTTTAAAACCTGAAGTTAAAAACCACATTGCCATGTAGACTCTCTTAACTCTTACCCTTTATTCATCCTAAATTATTTCTTTGGGGTGATTTCCTAGAATTAAAAATTGCTGGTCTTACTTTTAAATTCTTTTTTTTTTTTTTTTTGAGACAAGTCTCACTTTGTTGCTCAGGCTAGAGTGATTGCCATGGCATCAGCCTAGCTCACAGCAACCACAAACTCCTGGGCTCAAAGGATTCTCCTGCCTCAGCCTCCCAGTAGCTGGGACTACAGGCATGCACCACCATGCCCGGCTAATTTTTCTCGTATATATTGTTGGCAAATAATTTCTTTCTATTTATAGTAGAAACAGGGTCTCGCTTTTGCTCAGGCTGGTTTTGAACTCCTGACCTTGAGCAATCCGCCCTCCTTGGCTTCCCAGAGAGCTAGGATTACAGGCGTGAGCCACCTCGCCTGGCCTGACTTTTTAAATTCCAGATACATATTTTCTTAGACTTTATACTTGATCTTTAGCTTTTCAAAGTTCTTTTGCTAATCCATGTCTTATTTTTGGATAGGTAATTCAGTCACACAATTAAATTACAAGGCATAAAATAGTTTACAGCCAAATCTCTCCTTCCCATCCCTGTGGCCAGCCCCTGCCTCAGAGGCAATGGTGTTACCATTTTCTGGCTCATTCTTCCCCAGAGATTTTTTTTTTATTTCAGCATATTATGGGGGTACAGATTTTAAGATTTCAATAAATGCCATTTCCCCCCTCCCCCACAAGTCTGAGTCTCCAGCAAGACCATCCCCCGATGGTGCACATCTCACTCATTTATATGTAATACCCGCCCCCTCCCCACCATTTCAACACCCCACTGATGGCAAAAGACAGATCCTCCAAACAGAAAATTAATAAAGAAATAATGAACTTAAACAAAACCCTGGAACAATTGGGTCTGACTGACATCTACAGGACATTCTACCCAAAATCCACTGAATATACGTTCTTCTCATCAGCTCACGGGACATTCTCTAAGATTGACCATATCCTAGGACACAAAGTAAATCTCAAGAAATTAAAAAATAGAATCATACCATGTACCTTCTCAGATACAGTGGAATAAAACTAGAAATCAACCGTAACAGAAACTCACATTTCTACACAAAACGTGAAATTAAACAACCTCCTACAAAATGATTACTTTCATAAATGAAGAAATCAAGATGGAAATAAAAAATTCTATGAAGAAAACGACAATGGAGAGACAAGTTATCAACTCCTCTGGGACACAGCTAAAGCAGTTCTGAGAGGAAAGTTTATCCCCAGAGAGTTTTGTGCATGTGCAAGCTAACATCGCCTATCCTTTCCCTCACTTTTCACAACACTGGCAGATGGATACATACTCTTCTGCACTTAATATTTCTGGGAGATTGCTACATGTCAGTATTTATGTAAAAAGTTCCCTCCACTTTTCTTGGGTGCTTCCCCGTGCTCCGTCCTATGGGTTGGCCCTAATTTAACCAGCCCCTCCCTGATGGACATTGCATTGGGTATTTGGGTCATTTTGCTTTTATAAATCGTGCTGCTGTAAATAACCTTGTATGTGCAAAATTTTGTATGGGTGCTTCTATACTCTGTAAGATAAATTCCTAGAAGTGGAATTGCTGAGTTAAAATGTAGAGACATTGGTAACCCTGGCCTCACCAAGTTGCCATCAAAAATAATACCAACAGCTGGAGTGTGCCGAGCTGTCCCATGTGCAGGCACCACTGTGAGTGCTGTGTGGGCGTCAACAGCTTGAGTCTTCACTGCCGCCCTGCAGGGTAGGCACTGTGAGGAGGAGACCCAGGTGAAGTGACATGGCCAGGCACAGGGCTGGGGGGGGGGACGAATTCCAGATTCAAGCCCAGCCTAGCTCCAGAGCGCTTGCCCCATCTGCCAGGCTACACTGTCCTCTTAGAGATCGCACCGGTTTACCCTCCCGCAGCAGGGAATGTGGATGCGTCTCACAGCACCTACATCTCTCGGAGCTTGTTGGCACCCTGAGAGTGAGGGCAGGACTGCGCCCCCCAGTGCTGCAGATGAGACCTTCAGCTCAACTCGGCCCAGCCTGTGGCCCACGTTCTCCCCACACAGCAGGGGCTCCTAGGGGACAGGAGGCGGCTGGGGCTGGGGCCAGGGAGAGGCTTTCTGCGGCCAGCTGTCCTCTCTTCCTGCCCCAGGCCTGGGCCACGGAGACGGGGAAGTACACCGAAGGGGTGGATGAGGCCGATCCAGCCAAGTGGAAGGCCAACCTGCGCTGTGCCCTTAACAAGAGCCGCGACTTCCGTCTCATCTATGATGGGCCCCGGGACATGCCGCCCCAGCCCTACAAGATCTACGAGGTCTGCTCCAACGGCCCCGCTCCCGCAGGTATCAGGCCTGGCCCCACGTGGCCACCCAGAAGGCTGTGTGAGGCCCCAGCCCCCAGCCATGACCTCTCGCTGCAGGCAGGCCCAGTGGGCCGTGGTCCAGGACACACTGCCGGGGTCATGGGTGGGTCAGGACAGGCTTGGCATGGGATCAGGGACCCGGGTCCTTCCGCCTCATCACCAACTCCTGGTGGCTGTGCCCTTCACCTCGTCCTGTGCTTGGGCAGCTTTGGAGGGGGCAGAAGCCACAGCTGGAGTCCTGGGGAGCCTTGCTTCTCCTCTGCCATTAACCCCTTTCCTGTCCTGCTCTTGTCTCCGCTGTGCAGAGTCCCAGCCTGCTGAAGATTACGCTGTTGGAGCAGGAGAGGAGGAGGAGGAGGAAGAGGAAGAGGTGAGTGTGGGGCAGGGAAGTGAGGAGGGGCATTTTTCCCAGTGTCTTCCTGCACCGTGGGGGGTCCTGGGCAGGGGCTCTCCGCAGCCCACCCCCCTGGAGCCTGCTGCCCTCTCTGGAGCTCTGGGATTCTGAAGGGTGTTGCTACCCAGCGTGTTCACTTACTGTCCGGCCCTTGCAGCAGTGAGAGCTTGCGGCATTACTGCCTACAGAGGGCAGGTGCGGAAACTGGAGCACTGGGAGCTTTTATCACCTGCCTGGGATGGCCGAGCTGGGACTGGAGGCAGGGTCTGGCCTTGGCTAAGCCGAAGCTGGGGGAATTGCCTTGTGGTTCTTGTGTGTTATTTCCCCAGTATCACATCAATTTAATCACCAGGCACAGTGGCTCATGCCTGTAATCCTTTGAGAGGCCAAGGTGGGCAGATCGTTTTTGAGGCCAGGAGTTCAAGACCAGCTGGGGCGACACAGCAAGATCCTGTCCCTAAGAAAATAAAATAATAATTAGCCAGGCATGGTGGCACGTGTCTGTAGTCCTACCCACTGGGGAGGCTGAGGCAGGAGGGTTGCTTGAACCTAGAAGTTTGAGGTTGCAGTGAGCTATGAAGATGATGCCACCACACTCCAACGTGGGCAACAGAGTGAGACCCTGTCTCAAACAAACAAACAAATAAATAAATAACCTGCCCTACCTTCTCCATCTCTGATCTCTTCCCTCCTCTTCTTTTCAGCTTCAGAGGATGTTACCAAACCTGAGCATCACAGGTGTGGCTGGAGGTGGTGTGGTTGGGGGTCTGGTACATGAGAAGCTACAGGTACCATAGGTACCTGGGAGGAGGGCTGCAGGGAGGCTGGGGAAGGCCCAGGGCTGGGAGTACATGGGCTTGGGAGGCAATTTCTAGAGTGGCATCAACAGCTGTGCACCCCGGCCCTCTGCAGAAGCAGTGCCGCCTGGCCCCGCCATGGCCCCCTATTCTTTACCTAAAGAGGATGTCAAGTGGCCACCCACCCTGCAGCCACCTGTAGTGATGGGCCCCCCTGCTCCGGACCCCAGGCTCATGGCCACTCCTCCTGGTGTCCCTGCTGGCTTCAGGGAGCTTCTGCCAAGTGTGGAGCCTGGGCCCCTGGCTGCCAGCCTGCCCCCTGCAAGCGAGCAGCTCTTGCCCGAACTGCTGATCAGCCCCCACATGCTGCCACGTAAGGACCCAGCAGCTGGGCAGGGGCTTTGGGGAGGGACTGCAAGGAGGGTGGAGGATGCCAGTCCCCCTTGGGTGGAGGACAAAGTGGGAGAACTGCCAGGGCTGGGTTTGGCTGCTGGGCTGCAGGATGGGGAGGCGTGGGGCTCATACAATCCCTGCCCCACAGTGACCGACCTGGAGATCAAGTTCCAGTACAGGGGACGGCCACCCCAGGCGGTGATCATTAGCAACCCGCACGGCTGCCGACTCTTCTACAGCCAGCTGGAGGCCACCCAGGAACAGGTGGAACTCTTCGGCCCCGTGAGCCTGGAGCAAGTGCGTTTCCCCAGCCCCGAGGACATCCTCAGCGACAAGCAGCGCTTCTACACAAACCAGCTACTGGATGTCCTGGACCGTGGGCTCATCCTCCAGCTGCAGGGCCAGGACCTATATGCCATCCGCCTGTGCCAGTGCAAGGTGTTCTGGAGCGGGCCCTGCGCCTCAGCCCATGGCTTGCGCCCCAACCCCATCCAGCGGGAAGTCAAGACCAAGCTCTTCAGCCTGGAGCATTTTCTCAATGGTGAGGGGCCTGCTGTGATCCTCCTGGCCTCTTCTCGCCCAGTGGCACAGTTCTAGCCTCTGACTAGGGATCTTGATCTTGATGCAGAGCTCATCCTGTTCCAGAAAGGCCAGACCAATACCCCACCGCCCTTCGAGATCTTCTTCTGCTTTGGGGAGGAGTGGCCTGACTCCAAACCTCGAGAAAAGAAGCTGATTACCGTACAGGTACACCCCCTACCCCCTATGCCAGCTCTGCCTTGGGTGACTGTGGGGACTCCTGGAGCTAGGCCCTCGCCCCAGGACAGAGGCTCAGGGCTTTCTGGGCAGCGTGAACTTGGCTGCCAGAGACAGTCAAGGCCCAGGGCTAGAGAATGCAGTCCATCACCTGCCCCTGGTGGGGCCCACACACACCCTGCATGCAGCTGGCAGCCCTGCCATGGGTCTCCCTGTCCTGTCTCCTCTTTGCCTCCCAGGTGGTGCCCGTAGCAGCTCGGTTGCTGCTGGAGATGTTCTCAGGGGAGCTCTCTTGGTCAGCTGACAGTATCCGGCTACAGATCTCCAACCCAGACCTCAAAGACCGCATGGTGGAGCAGTTCAAGGAGCTCCATCACATCTGGCAGTCCCAGCAGCGGTTGCAGCCTGTGGCCCAGGCCCCTCCTGTGGCAGGCCTTGGTGCTGGCCAGGGGCCCTGGCCCATGCACCCAGTTGGTATGCAGTAACAAGCTGCAGATGGTGACTGGCCCGGGCTTCCTGGGTGGCTGTGCAGACCGATAAGGAGGACCCCTGGTGGGCACCTGGTGGCTGTGGCATCCTACCTCTGGGTTTCCTGGAAGTGGACTTGGTGGAGGAGGAGAGGAAAGAGGCCTGAGACCCATGTTCTCCTTCCTGGGCCTGCCTCTCCTGTGCTCGCTCTGGTCTGGTCTGCTGGGCTCTGGAGAAACTCAGCCTGCAGCCCTGTGAGCGGGGAACCTTGGGGCCTAGTTGTACAGGACGAATGGCACCAGGGTGGCCCACTCTTGTGGCTGCTCCATTTCACTTGGCAACAAGAGCCAAGGAGTGTTGTGGGCTGGGTCCCCCCAGCAGGGACTCTGCAGGGCACGGCCCGACTTTGGCATTTCCTGGCTTGAGCCTCAGTTCCTCATCTTCCTCCCTCCTGAGGCAGATACCAGCACAAAGGTATCATACCAGATACTTAAGGCTGGCAGCTACCCCACATCTTGTGAGTCCAAGAACATGGGGTAGAAAGAATGTATGCATTTTTGGATTAATAAATGTTAAAAACAGACTCAGCTATTTCTTTACTTTTTCCAGTACCAGTTGCTGTTTCCACTACCAGACCCTATTTGGGATGCCAGGTGGCCCTCTCCCCGAACACCCGCCCCAGCTCAGGTGCTGGCACAGGGAGGGCCTGCATTCCAGGCTGATGAGTCAGTCACCTTCCTAAACCTCACCTGGCCAGCTTTGCTTTCCAGGAGGAAGCTAGCTGAAGCACAGGTGTAGACTGTTAAATGTGTGCAGTCTAGAAACCTGGCAAAACCAATTTTCCCATAAGAAATGGTGTAGAAGGGCTAGTATTGCAGCTGCGTTTGGGACCATTATAATCTGTCATGCTCATGTATATTCATGTGCTATTAAACATATTAGGACAATACATGCAAATGGTAGCTCACCTTTTGAATCTGGCTCATAGTTGTAATTTTCTGGCCTAAACAATTTGTTGTTATCTTTCTATTATGGATGATTTTATTTTTATTTATTTATTTGTTTGTTTTGTTTTTGAGACAGAGTCTTACTCTATTGCCCGGGCTAGAGTGCCGTGGCGCAGTGGCGTCAGCCTGGCTCACAGGAACCTCAAACTCCTGGGCTCAAGTGATCCTCCTGTCTCAGCCTCCTGAGTAGCTGGGACTACAGGCATGTGCCACCATGCCCAGCTAATTTTTTAATATATATTTTTAGTTGGCCAATTAATTCCTTTCTATTTTTAGTAGAGACGGGGGTCTCGCTCTTGCTCAGGCTGGTTTTGAACTCCTGACCTCGAGCAATCCACCCACCTCGGCCTCCCAGAGTGCTAGGATTACAGGTGTGGGCCACCATGCCTGGCCCTATTATGGATGATTTTAAACATTTGTGAAATTAGGGAGAATTATATGAAATATGTAGCAACTTCAGTGATTATCAGTCTGCAATCTTTCTCATTGATGCTCCTTCTCTACCCCTACCTGAGATTATGTTGAAGCAAATTCTGGGCAAAGCATTTTATGTATAAATATTCAGCATGTATCTCTGAAAGACAAGGACAATTTAAAAATTAAAACCATTAAGTCATATCTTCAGTGGAGGGAAGAAATAAAATAAAACCACAAAGTCAATGTGAAGAAATTAATTTTTATCAAATATTCAGTGTTTAAAATTTAATTGGAAATTTTATTCCCTTTCAATTTAACTGAAAAAAATTGCATTGTTTCCAATCACATATTGTGTTAAAACATATTTTGTCTCCTGTATTTTCTTATAAATTATTACTTAGATCTAGATTTTAGAGGCTTGACTGGATTCAGGTTTTTCTTTTTACTACCTATTACTGGGTATTCGAGTTGTTTTTATCATTAGTTATTATAAATGAGGCAGTGAATAAACAGGCTTATGCATACTTTTTTATTTAGAGACAGGGTCTTGCTCTATCTCCCAGGCTGGAGTGCAGTGGCCTGATCATATAGTTCCCTGTGACCTTGAATTCCTGGGACTTGTGCCTATTTTTTGTCTTTTCATATTTTTGCCAGTGTATCTTTGGGATAGATGCTTAGAAATGGGACTTTTGGACCAAGGCATAAATAAGTATGTAATTCTGCTAGATATTGGTAAAACCCCCGCTATGGTTTCCATGTTTGATCCCTCCAAACCTCATGTTGAAATTTGATCCCCAATGTTGGAGGTAGGGCCTAAAGGGAGGTGTTTTGGTCATGGGGACAGATCTCTCATGAATAAATTAGTGCCCTCCCTCAAGGGAGAATTCTCACTCCATTAGTTACCTAAAAAACTGGTTATTAAACGGAGCCTGACACCTCCCTCCTCTCCTTTCTTCTCCAAGTGATCTTAGCCCCTTCCAGCTCCCCTCCTGCCTTCCGCGTTGACACCCTCACCAGATGCACTCGCCCAATCTTGAACTTTCCAGCCATGAATTGTGAGCCAAATAAACCTCTTTTCTTTACAAATTACCCAGCCTCAGGTAACACTTTAGAGCAACACTAAAGGGACTAAGACGACCCACATAAATGTACCATAGTGTCTGGCCCCACACCTTGCCAAGAGCATATTGTCACTGCTTGAATTTTTGGTGACTTGTGAGAAATAGTATCTCAGTGCCATTTCTCATTATGAGCAAGGCTGAGTAGCTTTTCATATGGTTAAGTGGCCTGTGCAGATATTTTTAAAAAAGAAACAATTTTAGAATAGTTTTAGATTTACAGAAAAGTTGCCAATAGAGTTCCTGTATAACTCACGCCCAGTTTCCCCAATTGTTAACATCTTACATGCACCATAGTACATTTGTCACAACTAACAAAACCATATGGGTAATTATTAACTAGACTCCATATTTTATTTGGATTTCATTAGTTTTTGTCTAATATCCTCTTCCTGTTCCAGGATCCTCTCCAAGATAACATATTACATTTCCTCATCACATCTCTACCTCCTCTGGTCTGTGAAAGTTTCTCAGACTTCTCGTTTTTGATGATCTTGATGGTTTTGAGAACTGGTCAGTTGTTTTCTAGAATATCTGTCAATCTGGGTTTATACGATGTGTTTCTCATGGTTTTTATATGGAAGACCACAGAGGTAAAGTGTCACTCCCAGCACATCACATCAAGGGTACATACTACGCACGTGATTTGTCACTGTTAATGTTGACCTTGATCACTTGGCCCAGGTAGTGTTGGATAGGTTCCTCCACTATAAAGTTACTCCCCTCACACCACTTTTCTATACTGTACACACATACAGTTTCAGAATAATTAACCTGTATCCCCTTAAGAAACTTTACCAACTAGAGTACAGGGCTTAAGTACAGTTCCCTGTGTCTTTAGTTTTCAATCATTTACAAAGGTTAGCACCTTTTCTCTCCATGGGCCTGTGCAATTCTATTTCCTCTTGACATTGAAATTCGTTGTTAACACTTTAAGATTAGATGTCACCTGATTTCTAGCTTCTCTCAAAAAACTGGCAAATATGAGAACATTGTCACACATTCCAAAATGGCAATAATCAGCTGGGACTTTAGATGGGGAATGTTCTCCTAGTTCAATACAGTCCTCTCCCAGCCACTTCACTCCTGTCATCACTCAAACCCTTGTCCCTGAAGGCAAGACTTTGCAACCTTTGATGAATGGTGAAGCAGAAAGACTGAGAGTAGGTGAATCATGTAAGCTTAGAAGGCCCATGTGCACCACGTCGCCACTAGTGGACTAACTTCCCCAGTACGGTGGTGGTTCAGTAGCTGCCAAAAATATTCCTTGGGTTTCTACTTTTGGTTTCTTAAAAATATAACAAAAACAACAAAAACCTAGCTGTCATATTCTTTAGTTTCCTACATTGTAGCAACCAGTTGTGGATGAATACCAGCCAAAACAAGTCACAAGACAAAACAAATCCCAGAGGTAAAGGCAGGAGAGTGCATGCTGCAATTCACTGCTCCCTAGCCATGCTACGCTCCACTTGGTAGCAGCATTTGACTGCTCTAGTGACCTGTGTTGAAGCCTGATGCTCATGGCCCTGGGGATGGTCACATCCCTTTAGGACCCAGTACTGTTTCTCTCTATCCGTTCTTCCAAGCTCCTCCTTCCCAGTAGGTTTATCCTTGCATCCAACTAAATATTTTCTTTTGACTCCTTCCTTTTATTCAGCTTTTCTTTGACTTAAAGAACCTACCTCCTTTTAGTCTTTGTAGAGTAGGAGAGGATATTGATGGCTTTTCCCATTTTTGTTGAAGGAGCATTCTTGGAAAGCAACTTTCTCATTTGCTGGTATCTATCCCAAGAAATCGGGAATATTTTGTTGCATAATCTTGGATTTTGAGGGTCTCTATATTTTGGCTTTCATATTGTAAAATGATTCACTTACACCAGGGCCACACAATGTGAACATTTACACTGAATTCATGAGGTGCTGATACCATTCAAAAGCACAAGTTTCTTTATGCCTTATGTATACTACATTGGCGACTTTTGGAGACAGATTCTCGCTCTGTTGCCGGGGCTAGAGTGCCATGGTGTCAGCCTAGCTCACAGCAATCTCAAACTCCTGGGCTCAAGTGATCCTCTTGCTTCAACCTCCTGAGTAGCTGGGACTACAGGAGCATGCCACCACATCCAGCTAATTTTTTCTATTTTTATTAGAGACGGGGTCTCACTCTTGCTCAGGCTGGTCTCAAACTCCTGACCCTCAAGTGATCCTCCTGCCTCAGCCTCCCAAAGTGGTAGGATTAGAGGTGTGAGCCACCGCGTCCCACCCTCATTCTGTTATTGATCTTTATAATTCCCTTCAAACAGATACATACAAATTACAAGTTATTGTTTTTCTAGTATAGCCTTGCTGGGAATAGCCCCAATGGGTGATTTGTGTTTCATATAATCATGACCTAAATCACTTGGCTAATCCAATCCGGAAACAGACAATTCTGTGGGGAAATGACTTAGATAAGTTCAGGTGCAGTTAATTTTCCTGTGCACATCCAAGAAAGACACTCATTCTACTTCTACTAGAGAATGCCATGCAGGAACAAGGTTATCTACATTAGGGGACCTAATCCCAAACAATTTCTTTTTAAATTAAAATTTGGGTGGGTATCCTTGCTATGCCAAAAGATAGTAAGACTGATACAGAGTAGCCATTTCAAATAATCCATAGGTTTTACAGTAAGCAGTGAGGTTTTGACACCATTAACAAAATGGGATTGTTTTCAAAACTCTACCTGAAAACTATGTTTTTGGTATTAACTATGACAATGCATTCCACAGGCTATTTTTCAGTAGCTAGGGAGTGTTTTAGTAAGCCTTCTACACATTTTTTTGGTACCAGACACAACTTCGTGTGAGAAAAGGCAACTTTCTTAAATAGACCAAATTCAACTGGTTATTGCAAGAACCTACAGCTGGACAAGACTTAAAGGTTTTATTGTTTAGCCAGAACATGTCCGAGATGGCCAGGTAATGTGCTGACCCCTGGAATCTGATAATCTCACTCTAAACACTCTTTCAAGTTTTTTTCTCCTTCTAATAATGCCTCTTT